CCTATCAATAGGTACCATTATTGTACATCCACTAAGAATTTTAAAGATTTATTTATTCCTGTATTATATGTGTCTTGCCTGCATGTATGTATGTGTGTACGTACGTATGTTATGTTATGCTATGCTATGTTATGTTATGTTTGTTCAGTCCCTGAGGAGGCCAGAGGAGGGCGCATGTCTCCTGCAACTGCAGTTGCTACGAGCTGCCAGGTGCATGCTGGGAACCAAGCCCTTGTCCTCTGCAAGAGCAGCCAACACGCTTACCCTCTGAGCCATCTCTCCAGCTCCAATTAAAGATTTTAAAAATTAAAAAACCAAGCCAGTTAATAGGTTCCAGGCTGCTGATTTCTTAAATCTCCAAAATTGCCTTACTTATACTGTCTCAGGAATATGTTTTATAACTCAAGGTTGTGCTCAGTGAGGAAATAACTCATTTTTGTGCATATTGGCGACAGCATGGGTTTATAAAATTTTTTGAAGCCCCAGATATCTCTAATACAAATATCCCTATTGTCAGTGTCCTTTGCCACAGAGGCTCGTGACTAAACCTGCACTGATACAATACTACATGGGTTACAAGAGGTAAACCTGCATTAACACAATACTGCTTCTAAGGTCCACAGTTTAGAGTCCTCTTCTACTGCTATTGACAATGCACAGTGTCACATATCCACCAATATTCTGCCCCACAGGAGAGTTTCACTGCCCTAAAATCCTTTTAGTTTTACCTGCTCATCCTTCTCTTCCCCGGTCCCTGGAGGCCACTGATCTTATTGTCACCACAGTTTGCCTTTTCCAGAGTGTCAGAGCTCAAATCACAGCATGTAGCCTTTTTTTCGTTGATATTCACTTACTAGCATCTTAGTGAGGTTTCTTCTACGTCTTTTCCTGGCTCGACACTTTGTTTCTCTTTAGACTGTGTAACATGTTGGTACCCAGACATCGCACAGGTTGCTCAATGGGGAGCTATCTTGGATGCCCTAAGTTTCTGTTGGTCTGCACAAAGCGGCTGTGGACTTCGGTAACCAAGGTTTTGTGTGGCTGTTTTCCTTTCTTTTGGGTAAATACTAAGGAGTTATAACTGCTGGATCACATGGCTAATGCATGTGTAGATATTTTGTGGAAGCAGCACACCATTTTCCAAAATGGCTGTACAGTTTAGTAATTTTACAAGCAAAGAAGGAACAATCCTCTGGCTCCCAATGTCACCAGCCCTTGGTTGCTGTCATTTCTGATTTGGTGCTGATACTGTTTTTATTTGCATCTCTCTTGACAGCATATGGCATTGAGCATCACTGTGTCTGTTAATTGTCTATCTCCTCTGATGAGATGTCCAAGTCATGGCTTGTTTATGGTCATGTTTTTGTTTCCTTACTGTCAAAGTTTTTTAAGTTCCTTGCATGTTTTGGATAACAGTCCTGATTTTCTGTGTCCTTTGCAAACATGTTCTGCCATTCTAGATTTTGTCTTTTTATTATTTTTACAATGCCTTCTGTAGAGTGGGAGGATTTCATTTTAATGAGGTCCAGGTCATCCATCCATCCTCCATGGCTTGTGCCTTTGGTGTTAAACTCCCAGGCCATCTGGACTTCCTCTAGTCTTACAGATATATCATAATGTAAGTCTGTCGTTCAATTGGGTTAATTTTTTTTAATGGTGAAAATCTGTGATGATGCTTTATTTGTTTGGGTTTGCATGTTAACATCCCAGTTGCTCCAGAGTCAGTTCTCTCTCTCTCTCTCTCTCTCTCTCTCTCTCTCTCTCTCTCTCTCTCTCTCTGTGTGTGTGTGTGTGTGTGTGTGTGTGTGTGTGCGTGTGCGTGTTTGTATTTTAATTTTATTTCAGGTTCCAAAGATCAATTTTCACCAATCCCACTGTACCTCGACTACTGTAGCCTTATTGTAAAGCTTAAAGCCAGCTGATGTCAGTCCTCCAACTTTGTCCTTGTCCTTCAATAGTATGTGGACTGGATGATTTTTATTTCTTTATTTCAAGAAAGTCCCAGATGCCAGGAAAACAAGAGCTCCCAGGACCCAGCGGGGATGACATTAGTTGAAATACCCAACAAAAGGGAAAGAGAACCTATGGAGACCATATCCAGAGGTTAGGCACAACCTCCGGTTGAGGGATGGGGCGACCCATCCATGTCAAAAATATTAACCCAGAATTGCTCTTGTCTACAGGACATGCAGGGACAATGAGGGGAGCAGAAACTGAAGGAAAGGCCATCCAGAGGCTGCCCCACCTTGGGATCCATCCCACATGTAGACACCAAACCCAAACACTATTGCTGAGGCCAAGAAATGCTTGTTGACAGGAGCCTGGTACGGCTGTCCCCTGAGAGGCTCTGCCAGAGCCTGACCAATACAAATGCAGATGCTTGCAGCCAACCATTGGACCGAGCACTGGGACCCTAATGAAGAAGTGAGAGGAAGGACTGAAAGAGCTGAAGGGTTTTGCAACCTCATAGGAAGAACAACAATATCAATTAACCTAACCCCCCCAGAGCTCCCAGGGACTAAACTACCAACCAAAGAATACACATAGGGGTGCATATACACATGGCTGCAGCTGCATATGTAGCAGAGGATTGCCTTATCTGGCATCGATGCAAGGGGAAGCCTTTGATCCTGTGGAGGCTTAATGCCCCAACATAAGGGAATGCTAAGGTGGTGAGGCCAGAGTGGGTGGGTGGGTGGGGGAGCTCCCTAACAAACACAGTAAGGAAGTGGGAGAGGAGAGGAGGCTTAAGGAGGGAAAGCCAGAAAGGTGGATAACATTTGAAATGTAAATAAATAAAACAACAATAAATAAATAAATAAATGCAAACAAACAAACAAAAAAGAACGCATCTCACAATGTAATCCAGGTTGGTCTCAAATTCATAATCCTCCTGCCCTAAGCACCGAGATTATAGACTTGCTTCTAATTTTTTATCAAAACTTTTTGTTTATGAGCTTAATTATTTTTTTAACTGTTTAAGTGGTTAAATAGATATTCAGATATTTTAATTTTTTATTAATTAATTAATTTATATATATATATATATATATATATATATATATATATATATATATGAGTACACTGTCATGATGTCTTCAGATATACCAGAGGAGGGCATTGGATCCCACTACAGATGGTTGCAAGCCACCATGTGGTTGCTGGGAATAGAACTCAGGACCTCTGGAAGGACAGTCAGTGCTCTTAACTGCTGAGCCATCTCTCCAGTCCCATATTTTGATTTTTTAAAAAAACTTTCTATTGGTTCTTTGTGAGTATAGTACACCCCAATCCCACTCATCTCCCCTCCCCTCATACCCACCCTCCACCCTTGCAACCTCCTCCCCAACAGAGAAAGACTGTTTCTCACTGTGGAAGCTGTAGTGATTCACAGTGTGTCCCACAGTGTACTCTTTTGTCTGCACTTCTTTGCTTGCAAATGTTCGTTGCAATGACTCATTGGTCTGCTACCAGGCCTCTGGCTATTCTATAAATACTGAAACCTCACCCAGACTCCTCTCGGCTATCCTGTTGTTGCCCTGTATCATGGAGATCCTGCAGTTTTGGATCTTGAGGTCCTGTCCCTTCACGCATTCCGACAGTTCATCAGTGGGGTAGATGTTGGGGTGGGCCAATTCAAAGCCCTGGATCTGGACCTAAGAGGTATCTGAGCTGTTGAGAGCCCCACTGGCTCTCACACTTTCATGCCCCTGGGGCCGACTCAACAGCACCCCCACAACCAGGGCCAGCACTACTCTGCTGCCCAGGAGAGTACAGGACCCGTTTGAAGCTGGTGAGGAACATGGCCCGGTCTCCCACTCTCATGACTCCAGGGCCAGCTCTCTTACATCTGCCATAGATGGCAAGGACCAGCAAGAAGAGGAGAAGGGTGTTTCTCTCTCATCCATGCCACCACCCAGAAGACAAGAGCTCTCTAACTGTCACACCCTGGGGGTGGCTTACCCACAACCTCCACCAGAGTCAGCTCTACTCTGCGCCCAGGCAAGGTGAAGGGTCTGCTAACCCAAGAGCTGCCACTGGTAAGAGACGGGCCGATTCTCCTGCTCTCATGCCCCAGAGCCAGGTCTGCCCCAGGTGGAGAAGGGCGGAGCAGGTAGAAGGTATCTTTTCCTCATCCATGTCGCTGCATGGGAGACAAATGGGAAGGCCAGCTCTCCCATGCTTGTATCCTGCAGCAGGCTCAACCACAACTCCCGCAATGTTCAGCCAGCTTTCTTGAAGCTGGCTAAGGACTGAGTCAGCTCTGCTGCTCTCATGGCCCCAGGGCCAGCTCTTCCATGACGCTCCGGTGAGGGGTGGGGCCAGTTCAGCATAGCCTTCAAACATCAACATGTCTCAGGGCAGCAGCCCAGGCCAGGGACAACTGTCTGGCCTGTAGTAGTAATAGACACCCACTGCCACAGGGCCATGGCCCCAGACATGGTCCCCAGTTGGCAGCAGAGGCCAGAACCACACATAGTCCCAGGTGGCTTGACCAGGTATTCATATCAGGTTGTTTCTCACTACCTTCGAGTCTCCAGTTCTGCCTTTCTTCATTGTGCCCACATCCTCCTGTTTTTCTCTCTTCCATTTCTCCACCACATACTTGCTTCTCTTAGTGGTCAGGGTCTCTGAGTGTCTGGGGTCGTCTCAGGAGTGGTCTCAGGAGTGCTATGCGACACTGTGTATTATGGTGCTAGGCAGGGTCATCCGGGGCATAGGCTGCCTCCCTAAGCCTGTGTGGCACCAGACTGGTGGTCATCTCAGGCTAACTCCCTGTCCAGGCCTCATGGCACTGATCTGGTGGTTGTCTCAGGCTCGCTCCTCACTCAGCCACCCAAATAGCCCCTTTCAAGGGTCCTCTGTCTCCGGCTCACTCCCAGGATCTGCAGCCCCAGGCAGGGTTCTTCTGGTCTCCAGCTTGCTTCCCATCCTGGGAGCCAATTCACATCCGCCTGGTGCCGGACTAGCGGTCACCTCAGGCTCACTTTTTTTCAGGGAGTGTTAGGCTAGTAATCATTCAAACACTCATAGATCAGAACACTGAACCCAGACATGGCCTCCCCCTCTCTGCCTCCTGCTGATGCACTCGTGAACAGCAGCTGCACGATCACTTCTAGGGGCAGTTCTAGTCTGATTTTTTGATGACTCGGACTTTGCCCCCACTGGAGATAATCTCAGCTTGCCCATCCTTTGGTGATTCTTCTACTCCTACAACCTTTTCTCTCCCTCCCGAATCTTCAACCCCTTCACACCCTTTTTTCTCCCTCACAGATACCACCAACTGACGTCTCCATCTACAGTCAGTTTTAAGACCCATGACGTAAGGGTTCCTGTATGATGAGAGATCTCCGTATCCTCCCTGAATTTCTCAGGCATAGAGACGTAGGATTCAGACATGTGGTCTGTGCACCCACAGAAGCTCCAGGATGTGAGGAACTGTCCTGATGTAACTGAACAGTGACCACAGTAACAACCCAGCAAACCACCCGTATTGCTCACTGCAGGTCTTCCATTTCTGAGGAGTTTTCTTCTTCCTTTCTGCCTCTCTCTCTTTGCCATCACAACAGAAGCAACTGGAACTCTTTTGGAGCTCGTAAAGTTATCTAACAGCCAGGACGTAGTGGTCCATGCCTTTAATCCCAGCACTCAGGAAACAGGCAGGCAGACCTCTGTGAGTTCTACAGAGCGAGCTCCAGGACAGCCAAAACTACACAGAGAAGCCCTGTCTTGAAAGGCAAACAAACAAAACAAAAACAACAAATAAAGCCAACAGATGTCACTAACAACATCCTCAGAGATGTAAATCTATCTCTGATGCCTCCTCAAGCCTAGACACCCAAAGTTCACTTTTTTCAATACGTGTCAGCATCTAAGGACAGGGGAAGGACCGTAGCTTGGGAAAATGACACAGTTCAGGGATTGAATTGATCTAATGAAAGTTGATAATACTTGTTTGCTTTGGGGTCATTGGTTTGCTGCCAAGCCTAGCTCTGCGGGTCTGGTTTCTGGCTTATCGCTTTTCACCCTTCCCTAGGAATGGGCACTGGAGGGACAGCTGAATCCACAAAGCAGGTATTGTCAAGTGTGGCATAAAAGAGTGTGGGGTTCACATTCTCTCACACAAGGCGGAAACCGAAGCTGACTCAAGTAAGAAGACGGGAGGAATCCTAGCCAATGTCACCTCACCTGGAGAGAGAGGTCAAAGAAGATCCGAATGTCTGTCATGTGCTCTCTGGGGAATGCCAGAACAGGTCTCTCCTTGTTCCAAGTCCTGCATTCAACAGCTCCAACCCGGCGCTTTCTTTGGACTGACAGCAGTGGTCCAGAGTGACTGGGAGAGGTAATTAGACCGCACTGTAACATCCTTCGAACTCCCTGGAGAGCTGGCACTACTGGAGGCTGGAGGATCTTTACTGTAATCCTTATCCCTAAACCCTCTGGGGTCCCTCCCTGACATGGTTGTCAGCTGTGCTCGGCCACTCACTCATTTCTCATTTCCCAACAAGGTTTGTAAGCTCCCTTCAGGAAGTAGAAACTGACATTTAAAAAAAAAATTTTTTTTAAAGAAAAAGCATGTCATTTTCCCAAGTTCTAGAGCACAACCTGGAGCAGGGGCAGATCAATCTAGATTTAGTCCCTTTGTTACTAGGGTGACAACAGCACACATGAGACCAACTATGCAGACTTGAAGCCATCTGCTGACCTTGGGCTTCTGTGTCTGCATCAACCTTTCCCAGCAGCAAAACACCTCCCCACCCCCACTTTTTACACCATCTACATTATTCTCCTCTGTGAACTCTAGACCAGGAGGTTTGTTTTGTTTTATTTTAGTTATTCCCCCACTGTGTGTGCGTGTGCCCCAACACCCAGTCTCAAATGAGGTTCTGCAGAAGTGTTCATGAATTGGACCTTGAAGGTGCCAACAAGCAAACATGAATGAAAACACAGCTCTTGATTCACAAATTCTACTCCAGGAAGATGGGGTCATTTCAGAAAACATCAGCCATGCTAAGTTAAAAACTACTATCCAGCCACACAGTGGTGGCTCATGCCTTTAATCCCAGCGTTCAGGGGGCAGAGGCAAAGGCAGATGGATCTCTGAGTTGGAGGCCAGCCTGGTCTGCAGAGCAAATTCCAGGACAGCCAGGGCTACACAGAGAAAGCCTGTCTCAAGGGTCTAGAGGAGGAGGAGGGAGAAACAACAACAACAAAACTAATACTCAGGAGAGTGATCAGAGTTAAGAGTGTTTTCTACGAGAGGCTCACCCACTGCCACCCAGCAAGGGGAGCGCCACTATGATGAGCAGCTATGTAGTGGAGAGATGAGAAAGAGAAGCAGCTTGAGGTGACTAGCCTGTGACACCACCTGCAGACATGATGATATCCTGGCCCATGCTACTACAGACGGCCATGTTTGGGTTCATGCTCCTGCAGCATTGGGTGGGGGGCAGCGTATTGATGTTCATGGCCCGTGTTACCATCAAAGGCTGTGGTCTGAGCTGCTGCTCAAAGGCTGTGTTGATGTCTGTGGGGAGTGCAGAACTGACCCCACCTCTCACAGGCTACAGCACTCAGGATAGCTGGCACCACCCTGTCCTAGGCTTTTTGGAAGAGCTGGCCCTCAGGGTGTGAAAGCCGTAGAGATGGCCCCTCCCCTCACCACCTGCAGCACTGGGGAGAGCTGGTGGCCCTGGTGCAGGAGAACAAGTCCTGCCTTTTTCAGGCTGCTGCAGGCGGCTTGGCCCCAGCCCTGGGAAAGTAGAAGAGCTGGCCCTGGTAGTATGGGCAAGGGAGAGCCGGCAGGCTGAACAACTGTGCTGCCACCCAGGCCAGGGCTTTAAGTTGGCTCACCCAACATCTACATCACCTGTGAAGTGTTTGAGTATGTTCGAGGGACAGTCTTGCAGAACCAAAGCTGCAGGACATCTCCATGACATAGGGCAACTACTGGATATCCAAGAGGTATCCCTATGGATAGTGTAGCAGAAGGCAGAGGCCTCAAACCAGACCACTGCAATGAACATTTGCAAGTAAAGATACGTGGACAAAAGAAAGGGTATACTGTGGACACACCATGATACATCTACAGCTTCCAGGTAGAGATTTGGTGGTTTTTTTTTCTTTTTCTAGAGACAGGGAGGAGGTTGCCAGGGTGAAGAGCAGATAGGGAGGGACAGGGAGAAGAATGGGAGTGGGATGCATGATGTGAAATTCACGTGTACGTTTGCTGTGTGTGTGTGTGTGTGCGCGCGCGCATACACAAAACCACATAGACACACAAAATGGTAGAAAAAATTTAAAAAAGATGTTCACTGTTCTTCAAGAGGACTTGAGTTTGAATCTTAGTGCCCACATCAGGAGGGCCACCACTGTCACTTGTCATGCTGGCTCTCGGTAATATAATACCCTCTTCTGGATTCTGGGGCACCTGGATTTAACACATGCACAGACACGTTCACGTACACGCAATTAAAAATAAAACTTAAAGAAATTAACATTCAAAAATAAAGGCCTTCGCCTAGAAACAATATCCGCTTAGACTTTCTAACGGCTGGCAGGATCACACTTAGAATAGCAGCAAAGAGAAAGTACATATGAGGGGAAAGTACATCAAAATTCTAAAACATTACGGAAGGACAGTCCTCCTTCCCCCAAAATAAATCTTAAACAGATGAAAATGGCGCGTGTTCCCCAAATGGAAGATTTCACATCACTAGATGTCATAGTTCCTAAACTAATCTAGTATATCATCATCGTAAGGATAAACAGAAGTTTCTTCATTCAATCAGATAATTTGCAAGTTTGATGGAAAAATAAGACAGAAGCAATGCAGGAGAGACAGGCTGGGTGTACTGCGCACGGGAGGCTGAGAAGGGTCATGGGTTCGAAGCCAGTCTAAGCTACATAGACATTCTGATGCAAGAAGAAGAAGAAGAAGAAGAAGAAGAAGAAGAAGAAGAAGAAGAAGAGGAAGAAGAAGGGAGGAGGAGAAGGAAGAGGAGGAGGAGGAAGAAGAAGAAAAAAGAAAAAAACAGTCTATTCTCATGAAATTAACTAATTATAATTTTCTGTTTCATAAATAGGTCAACAGAAAAAACTAGAAAATCAAAAAAACCACATTCAAATTCAAATTTTGTACAAGTAAAAGGGGAGTTTAAAGTCAGTGAGAAAAGGCTGAATTACTTAGGAGACACTGTTAAGCTGCATTTTTACCTCAGGAAAAAGCTGGCTTGATATTCTAACAATAATATATAAATAGGGCCAGTAAAATCGTTCCATAGGTAAAGGCACTTGCCACCAAGCCTGATAACTTAAGTTTGATGGCAGGACCCACAAGGTAGAAGGAGAGAACCGACTCCTGAAAGTTGTCTTCTGACCTACACACATGCATACACACACACCCACAGACACTCACATACTCACATGCATTCACACAATATAAATAAAATGTAGTAAAAATTTTAAAATACAATATTTTGATCAAAGATTTAAATATGGAGGTATAACCCATAGAAACACTAGAAGAAAACATGGGAGAAGTTGTGCTAACGATGCCTCCTTTATGAATCGTTAACTAATCGTTAATTCTCCTTTTGTCCCAAAGGAGAAGCCCCATTCTCCTTTTTCAGGCTGTGGACGCCTGGCTTCTTCTGTGTTCCCTCTTATACTGATCTTTCTACTTAGTGAAATTCTCTTCAGGGTAGTGAGAAGCCTAATCCCAAAAGATGGGTCATGGTGGCAGTCTGGGTCATTTTCCCAGCATCCTTTGCAGCCAGGCTGTCTGTGTAGCTTGGTTTGGATCAATAAAACATCAATGGACATCTGTTGGATCTTTTCCCTCCCTTTCCTTTCTCCATAAAAATGAGCACACACACATCAGCTCTCGTGACCCTTGAATGGCTCAAAATCATCCCAGGATCAGAAGGAAAAGTCAAAGAACTGAATTAAGCTCTGAAGTGTCAGAACAACGGAACCAGGGTTAGTGCCTCCCATCCCTGTCTTCTCCATAGGACACAAAAGCAAATCCTGCTAACCTAACCTAACCTAAGCCATTGTGTTTAAACTTCGGGTTTCCCACAGTTGCATAACATTTGCAATTGTACCTGACATTCAGAATAGCACGC